CAATGTAAGAGGGGAGAAGAAGGGAAGTTCTTTTCTTTCTTGAGAGAGGGAGAGAGAGAGTACACGCAGAAACAGGGGAGGGAGCACAGAGCCCAATGTGGGCTCAATCCCATGACCATGAGATCATGACCTGAGCCAAAATCAGGAGTTGGACACTTAACCAACTGAGCCAACTAGGTGCCCCAGGAGGCTGTTTTCTTGAGCACTTACCATATGCCAGATCCTGAAGTAGGGTCGCTATATCCCATTATATAACTTGATCCCTACAATACTCTTCAAGGCAGGTAGTAATGGTAGCTCATTTTATAAAGGAACCCAGGGAAGGGGAGCCTGGGTGGCTCAGTCGGTTAAGCATCAGACTTCAGCTCAGGTCACGATTTCATGGTCCGTGAGCTCAAGCCCCATATTGGGCTCTGTGCTGACAGCTCAGAACCTGGAGCCTGCTTCAAATTCTGTGTCTTCCTCTCTCTCTGCTCCTCCACTGCTTGCCCTCTCTCTCTCAAAAATAAATAAACATTAAAAAAAAATTTTTTTTTTTTAATAGAGGAACTCAGGGAAACTAGCTAGCTGCCTAGCTCTAACTTCAATTTGGCAGCCACAGAAAAAAGGTTTGCAGAACACTGACAAAGAGTTCTTACAAATCAAAAAGGAAAGGACTAACAACCTAATAAGAAAATTAACAGGAGTAGAAATGGCACCGAAAAAAACTAAAACTGTGAAACTGCTAATGTGATATCATGGGCAATCCCACTAATAATAAATGAAACATGATAACACTTTTCACCTACCAAACAGCAAATAAATATGAAAAAAAGTAACAGTGTGGAAGAGGTCTGAAAAAAATGAATCTAAGTTTAGGAACGTGGGCTGGATCTTTGGATGGTACTATCTTTCTTCTAGAACTTTAAAGGCACCACAAACTCTTTGACCAGGAAATTGTTTCTAGGAATTTACCCTCTGAATGGATCCCCACATTGGCAAAGATGTATATATGAAACACAGTAACAACAAAAGACTGGAAACCACCTAAATGCCCATCAATGGGGGATGGGCAGGTAAGTTGTGGCACATCCACATGTCGGGAATACTATGCAGCTACTAAAATGAACGAACAAGTTCTAAAACACTCTCCAAGATATGTTCTTAACTCAAAAAACAAAAAACAAAAAAAACCCAAAAAACAAAGGTCAGAAGCACAAATACTTAGTCCTTTGGGTACATTTCTGCTCACTGGCTTATACATAAGCAGACACCCTCTGCAAGGACACACGCAGGATGAGGAACAGTGGCTGCTGTGGGTGATGGCTGTGGCCTGGGCATCTAGGCAGGAAAGAGTTTCTCTTTCTCTGCCAATCCTTGGTCCTGTGTAGGCTGACAGCATCTACTGCTTGTCTATAAAATACCCACAGAGAGAGATGGTAAAGGCAGGGCTCCCAGGCTCCATGGCCCCTGCCTGGCCACTAGAAGGTCATAGCCTGGAGAGGGGAAGAGCCACGGACCCAAACATGTTACCACCTGGCTGGCTCTCAGTGGGGAGGCCCCTACTGCCACGTGCCTCAAGAACCAGCCTTTGACACACCCCTCCAGCCCCAAGACCTACTCTCCTCAGCTCCTGTCCAGGCCAACCCCACCCTTCAGTTTTTATACATAACAGGGAATCCGGGAAAACAGAGAAGCAACCATAGCTCAGAGGGTCTGGGTAACTTGCCAAAGCCACCCAGCTGGGAGCTGGCTGTCCTGGGAGGGGTGGATGGAGACTTCCAGGTGGAAGAGTGAGGGGTCAGCTATCTCTGTGCAGGACACAGCAAATGAGGGAAGGCTGGGCACAGGTGGGGTGGCCAGGCAGGGTAGATGTGGGCTTAAGGGGGCCTCAGGGATGGAAAGCAGACAAGCCTTGGTGACAGGCCATGTCCTGGCCAAGGGGTGGGTCTCTATGCCACATAGAACGTCAATGCTGGAAGGGCACCGAAAGCCCAGCACTGTCCAAACTTGTTTTTCAGGCAGTAGACACGGCTTCAGTCAGAATCTCCTAGGTGCCCAAGACCACATGGGGGCCGATGGAGCTGCTCCAGAGGAGCAGACCATGAGCCTAGAGCCCCTTCACCACTGCCTGCTGTTGCCCCAGAATGCCTGGAGCTCTAGAGAACGCACAGAGCTTATCCATGCCTCTACCCCACAGACAGGCAAACCAGTGCCCAGAGAGTGCAGCGACTTGCCAGAAGTCACTCGGCAAGCACGGCCCCACTCCCGAGTCTGGCGCACTCTCGACTGCGCCACCCTGCCCGCCCTCTGAGGATGCCGCAAAGCCGTGGTCCTGGGAACACCCGCCCAGGGAGGCCATTCGCACACCTCCAGCGCAAAGCAGTGCAGCAAGCAGCCTCGGAAATCAACAAGGCAAAGTACTCACGTTGAAGAAATTGGTCTTGTTCCTCTCGCAGAAGAGCCCCTGTGCCGGCATGTGCTGCAGTTGTTGCCACGGGATACCGCTGCCTAGCAACACGTCGCGGGCCCACTGGAGGTTCTGGGGAAACAAGAAGTAGGTTGGAAGTGAGTGTGTGGGCAGCTCGAGGCGCCCACGGGGAAGGGAGGCAGTCCCCTCCTTCCTGGCTGCGTTGGCAGAGCAGCGATGAGCAGCGGCTCCTGCAGACACCGATCCCACAGCTCCAGGCAGCTCTGGCTGTGGGCTTTGATCATCTGGCTGTGGGGTACATTTCCGGAACTGATTTCCTGCCTAGCACAGCTGACTTAGGAGAGTGTGGCCTCGGATTGCCCAAGAAGGGCACAGATAGGGACCCTGCACCCGGATCAGCCTTGAAAAACTGCTACATGGACCCAGTGCCCCACCTTCTGTCAGGGGAACCCCCGCTGTCCTAAAGGGTCAGCCCTGACTTGTCAGGGTGTCAGCAGTACTTATTGTACCTGGTGACACAGCCACCTTGGGCTTAGAAGAGCTGATCTCTGTAGGACACCAGGGGCCTGAGTACCTGGGAGGGGAGGGGGGCTCCATCCACAGTGCTCAGGCCAGTGCTCTCTGGGCAATGGCACCTCTTGGAACCCAGGCCCAGGGGGCCTGGTAGGGTGGGAACAGGAGCCTACCAGCCCAAGTGTGAGAGGCTGGGTGTACGCCTGGCTGCCTTGGCCTTCTCTGGGGCCTTGTCACTGACTTAGAGAGCAGCCCTTCCCCACTGCCAACCTGGCCTGCCACCTTCCTCTCTCAGGTCTTTCCCGTGGAGACTCCCATGGCCAGGACCACAGCTAAGCACCCTGCACGCACCATCTCACCCCAGCACCCGGACAGTGTGGTCTTACAAGGGAGAAGCCAGCAGGGGGCAGAGCTGGGACCAAAACCTGGACTTCCCCACACCAGACTCTCCTCTTTGGAGCAGTGCCCACCCTCCCCAGCTAATCAGTACTCCTGCCCTACCCCCATCCAGGTCCCTTCCTTGCCTCTCTCACCCCTCATGCCAGGCCTTTATCACCTCACATCCCAACTGCTTAATGCCTTCTACTTCTTGGCCTGCAAGTCTGTCCTACCTGCTCCCACTCTGCTCACTACTGGTCAGGCTAAACTTAAGAAAGCTCCCCTCATCACAACTTCTGGCAAAAGTGCAAACACCAGCTCCCTGGCTTGCTGGCTTGGAGCCCCCGCTGGCCTGCCCTTGAGCCTCTGCTCCTACCCCTGCACAGAGGGATATGCCACAGGAGACCCATCGGAGGTGAGGGCTCCTCCACACCCAGCACTAGACAGGACTCCATGGGAGTCATATAGAAACGGGGGACATATAGAAACGAGGGTCCCTCTGAGAGGGAGACAAGTAAAGTTTCAAGCACACATCTCCTGGACGACACCCTCACAGCTAGCTCTTCTGTGGAAGCCCGAGGGAGAGCATCATCTCCTGGGGGAAACCTGGATGATTAAGCCTGGCAGTGACTCTCAGGCCATTTTCTACAGGGACGTGGCCTGGCTCTGGGAGTGGCTGAAGGCTGAGGACCCGTAAAGTCGAGGCTGCCTTTGCCCAGCAGGTCTAAGCAGGTTCAATGTGGGGCTGGGGGCTAGAGGGTCACGGGCAGCCCGACACATATGAGAGCAGGGCCAATCCCAGGTGGACGAGAGGGCACACACTGTCCACAGCCCTCTGCACAGCCAACCCCTCTAGCCTGAACTCGGGAGGCTTGCTGTTTTGCTCAGAGCCCTCCTTGAGCCCAAACACCTGCTCAGACACATCTGACATGTTGAGATCAGGAGCAGGCTGAGACTCTGCCTCTCTTACAGACTCCAATCAAAACACCAAGGCAAGCCCAGAGTAGGAATCACACCAAGGGCCGTGCGGGGGCTGCTCTCGCTGAGGCTCAGCAGCTGTCAGGGAGCAGCAGCCATAGCGATGGTCTCCTGAGACATCACTTCTCCAGCACTCTCAGGTCTTTCTAGGGCCTCGAAGACTGATGCTACAGCCATTCATGGTGAATGATTAGGCTTCCTGAAGGCTGAGGTACCTCCTCTCTGCCCCCTTGTGGGGGAGGCAGAAACAGGCTAAGGAGGGGCTACCTGGGAAGCATCAGTCCCTGACCCTTGACCAGGAGCACAGGGGCCACTCTGCCCCACACAGGAAGAGTGAATACTCAGTCACTCAGTCCCAGCCTTCAACTTTTGAGCTTCAATGCCCCAGGGGGCATGAACCTGCAGTTCACATTCCAATGTCCAGAGCTGTGCCCAGAAGTCTGGCTCAGAGACCCCGCCTCCCAGACCAGTCCATTCAGAAGCCTCCTGAGGTTGGTTACAAGCTTCGCCTGATGCTTCTGCCAGGGGAGGGAGGGCTAGCCATGGACGAACTGAGCACGAAGCAGGGAAACAGCATGGGTCGGGCGTGCTTCATTACAAGAATAAAATCCAACTCAGATTAGTTCAAGCTGATCAGGGCTCCTCTGGGCTCCAGGACACAGGATTCAAAGAGAAGATAAAGCTTCAGACCTCCAGCAGGAAGAGCAACAACTCAGGAAGCCCAGGAGTGAGGCTCACAACCTGTATCAGTACTCAGCCATGATCCCTTGGTCTCAGTGCCACTTGGTTCAAAGTCTCTCCTGGGTGAGATGTGAGAGGCTGCCAGTCTAATCAGCCACAAAGGAGACCCTCACAGAAAGGGACGTGAGACAGAAGACCAATACCTGCACTTTGAACATGACAGGTGAGCCCACCTGACCGTGACCATGGAGATAGGGCACAAAGGAGACCCACCTCTGGTCCAGCCTAAGTAGGTCAGCGAAGCCCCTACAGGAGACGACACCAGATGGAGCTGCAGTACACCCAGAGCCATGCCATAAAAGCCTCTTCTGGGGCTCCTTTGGGACTTATGGGAAGTACCCAGTTGACCCCTTTAAAAAGTAGCAGCAGTCTGAGGGGGGTGGGGAAGTAAGGCTCGAAGAAGCATCTCCATGGTGGCTGTTCCTTAAGAACATCAAGAAAATAAGGGCGCCTGGGTGGCTCAGTCAGTTAAGCGTCAGACCTCGGCTCAGGTCATGATCTCACGATTTGTGGGTTCGAGCCCCGTGTCGAGCTCTGTGCTGACAGCTCAGAGCCTGGAGCCTGCTTCAGATTCTGTGTCTCCCTCTCTCTCTGCACCTCCCCCGCTCACTCTCTGTCTCTCTCTCTCTTTAAAAAGTAAATAAACATTAAA